CCAGCCGGGGCTCTTGTTTTTTGAAGTCAAAAATCTTCCCTTTAAGGCAGATGGAGAAATGTAAAAGCCAAAAGGCAGCAACACTCTGGACCCATCCCTCGAAACACCGGTTCCCAGTTCTCACCTGAGAAATGCCTTTCGTTCCAATCTGGTGATGGATGTTTTCCCTCCTCTCCGGTCTGTTCCTGCAAGTGCACGGATCGTGAAGTGAGTGCACCTGGAACAAGACACCGATGCCACGTGCCCCGACCTTCAATTGTGAGTTTCCTTTTTAACTTCGTTTTATCCGAAAGTGCTTGGTAAGGCTTGTGCTCCACCTTGTAGCTGACCAAACCAAGGCCCAGTGATTGTAAAAAGTATGATCCGTTCACTCAATAACAAAACGTTACTGCATTTCTAGCACAAATCCAGTGTCACAGGTACAGGGATGAAACGTGGACCCTGGCAGGGACCGACAGGCAGCAGCCGGTAGCCCCGAGCGACGCTCGCCCTGCCGCTGATGGTGCATTGGAAGCCACCGTCCGTCCTAAAGGTCCCCTCAGAGGTAGCCCAGGGGCACCGGAAGTGGGGATGGCTTTTGGAGGCAGAGCCGTATGCGAGAGGGGATGAGGGACAAGGCCATTCGGGGACCTCGGGGACCCTGGCAGGGCAGTTACTGAAGCGAGGGGTGTCCCCGAGGGGTGCGCAGGGTCTGGCCAATGTATGCCCCTACTTCCTCCCAGTAGCTATGAGATACTGAAGAATGAGACCCAAGCGTGTGATAGCACCGATTTTATTTCAGGAAACTTTGGAAACCGGGGAGAGGGCGCACCTACCTGGAGGGTTGCTGCAGTGCCCGAGGCTATGAGGGGGGACAGGGAGCTCGGGGCAGGGACACGGGGGCCTGAGGACGCAGATGGAGGCAGACGCCGGGAGGTGCCGTTATGTTTACCCTATGAGAAGCCCCAGCTTGATGCGTTAGCTCACGTCAGGCGCAGTTCCAACCCTTCTCGTGCCCTAATGTCAGAACTGCCTCATAAAATCATTCATTCCCAGCAGAGATGCCCATCTTCCCACTTCCTGGCCCTTGATTTTAGTGCAGGGGGCCGGGGGGGCAGAGATAAGACAGAAATGAGATGCTATCCCTTTATTTTAAAGGCCTGAATCCATACCACCCCATTCCGTAGTCCTGCATCACCCTAAGATGGTGCCCCACTCAGCGGGGAGCGCAGTTCATGGCCAAGCCTCAGCTCCCGGCCCAGGCTCACGTTCAGGGCGGAAACGGGGGTCCTGTCAGCGGAAGTGGGTACCACACCTCCCTCCCTGATGGAGGACAGAATGTTAAGTGACTCACATGCAGTAGTTAAATATATTTCATGTGCATTAAAATGTGTAACTAGCATATCGTATCCACTGTTCCAGGAATATTACTGTTCAGAAGAGGTTGGGTTTTAAAAGTCAGCCATTTAGCCCAGCCGGTGTGGCTCAGTGGTGGAGCATCGACCCTGCACCAAGAGGTCGCCGGTTCGATTCCCGGTCAGGGCACATGCCCAGGTTGTGGGCCCGATCCCCAGTGGGGGGCCTGCAGGAGGTGGCTGATCGATGTTCTCTCATCAGTGTTTTTATCTCTCCCTCTCCCTTCTTCTCTCTAAAATCAATAAAGAAAAAAATAAAGAATAAATAAATGTCAGCCATTTAAGGAAGCTACCTAGATAGGACAGAAATCGTGGACAGTGAACATGACCCAAAACTGACAAACCCATAACCGGGTCAAGACCGGAGTCACTGAGACGCCCACGCAGTCTGACTGCCGACCACCATGGAGCCCCGCCTCCCAGAGCCTGTAGCTGAGCCACATCTCCCAGCCCCTTGGGTGGAAGTGGGTGTACTCTCTCCACGGTCCTTTGCTTTCTGGTCCTGCTCAAAATGAGATTTCAGTGGGGGACCCCAGGGAAGGAGGATCATGCAGAAACAATGCCCCTTTTTTCTAACATCCCGGAGGGCGCCATGGGACATACATCTTTAATGCGACCAATGCAGAGGTTTGGGGTGGTTAGAGCAATCAGCGGACTCAAACGCAAGGACCCTCAGTCCGCGGACAGCTGAGTTGGAACCAGGACCAGGTTTTCTAATGGTCTTTATTAAGGATAAATTCTTGGGCCCGATCCCCAGTCAGGGGCGTGCAGGAGGCGGCCAGTTGATGTTCTCGGTCGTCGATGTTTCTGTCTCTTTCTCCTCTCCCTCCCTCTCTCTAAGATCAATAAAGAAAAAAAAGTAGTAACTAGGCTTCCCCCTATCCAACCCAGATAATCTCCACATGCGCTGCTGCCTGAAACACAGGTCACCGAAGGACATGACAGTCAGCAGCCGTTACGTTTTAGTAACAAGCGTTATTGTTTATCAAATAACACATGCTCATGAAGCAGAAAACCTCGCATGATCAACACCAGATGCTGGGAAGGGAAGCAACTGGGCAAGGGGAGGTACTCATGGGAGGCCGCCCTCTCGTGAGCTGGGGACGGTGCACGGTGACAGTGGTTCTTCCATTGCTAAGTGAGGCGCTGCTGGACACAGAAGAGGTCATAAGGAAGGAAGTCAAGCTGAGGCCCTGCACTCTGCGACCCGTTGGGGTGTGCGCTGGGGCTGGGGATGAGGTCATGCAAACCCCTGGCAGCAGAGGTCATGGGTCTGGATCTCTGGATCTAGCGCCCTCTGTGGGCACAGGTTTCACATCCGTGAATTCGACCAACCATGGTTCAAGAGTATTTTTTAAAAATCCCGGAAATTTCCAAAAAGCAAACTTTGCATTTGCCGTGTGGCAAGTGCTAGGCTGAATCCACTCAAAGGCATGTCGGCCGCCCCTGCTGGGGTCCATGTGCAGACGCAGGTACCTGCAAACGCGCCCTTCTCTCTAAGCACTTGGGCACCGAGGATCTGGGTGTCGGCTGGGGTCCTGGAAGCAGACTCCTGCAGAGACCAAGGACAGTGTGCTTTGTGGCCTGAGGTCAAGGTGAAATTCTGGGTCGGGGTTTAGAGATAAAAGCCTCCTTTGCAAAATAAATCACAATGGAGTGCCCATTTCTACGAGGTCCCTTCCCCCTGCAGCAAACAGGCTAAAACAAGAATATTGCTAGTCAAGAAAATGCATCATGCCCAGATCCAAGCAGCCGCTGCCTGTTTCCTGGGGGGTCGCCCAGGCTGCGAACCGCTGAGAAGGAGAGGAAGCTTCCCAGCCAATCGCTCACATCGCCGACGCTTGGAAGAGACAGACACAGCGCTCCTGCCTTTCAAGTCTCAGCCAGGACGGCCCTTGGCCTCCGCCCCTTCTGCCTCCGCCCTCGGGAGGGGCGAGCCACATGCCAAAGGGACAAGCTCAGGGCAGGCCTGTGTGGTGGCCCTGCAAACTCAGAGACCTACGTCACCACAGAGGATGGTCTGAAATGAAAAGTTTTTAACTGAAAGTAGCTAATGGCCGGTAGTCGTGTCCTGGGCCAACATCTTCCCTGACAAAGGTCCATCTTTACCTTCACTGAGCCTGTCTGTTGTCTGTTTGCATCTATGACAACAACTTTGGAAGGAATGTCAAAGTAATTTTCCTTTCGCGGACCCCTCAGAGCACAGGAACCCCTCTGCAGAGACCACAAATCCCCTCATTGTTATTGACTTAACTGTTTGTTAATTGTCCTGTGCCCACCTATGTAAAAGATGCGTGTGTCTATCATTTCACTTTTCATCCAATCCCAGAGGTTCCCTGCTCTGCTTTCTCCCGCCTCCCCAGTCTATCAGCCATGGACTTCCTGTGACCCATTTATGTCTCCTTTTTTTTTATTGTAATGTATAGAATAAGGTGCAAAAATATCATTCTCTGCAGCATTATCTCAATCCACTGAGGTTTTGCTTCCCGGCAACTGTCGACAGTTTTGGTTCAAATAAAGTCACAGAAATTGTGCACAGGTTTGAATGTTTCTTACATGGACAGCGGGGAACACACAGGATGTCTGTTACGTGAGCATCTTCTAAGACTGCAACACTGGAGAACGCTCGATGGGTGACTAAATCAAAACTGAACATTGAAGGAAAAAAAAAAAATGGAGCCCTGCCCCCCCAAAAAAAAGAAAAATAAAGAAACAAAACGGAACACCACCACCGAACGTCGACCTCACGACACCCCTTTACAAAATGAGCATCACATCCCGTTAAATGAGTAAACTAAGCCACCTCTCAGCTACTCGCGCACCTGCAGCCAGGGTCCAGGCAGGAAGCCAGAGTGGACAGCGCTTGTTACACCCCTTCCCTCGTCTGTCTAATCTTGGGGTTCCTTCCTTTGCCAGTCTAGGGGAGTTACATGAGGAGGTCGGAGAAGAATGTCTCAGGGCAGCTGTTTACCAGACATGAGTATCTCTGGGATCCTCAGAACATGTAAACCTGATGGCACATACCAGCTTTTAAAACTAACCTAGAAGAATTCTTCAAACAGAGATGACATTTATATTATTATTATTATTATTTTTTATCCTCACCCGAAGACATTTTTCCATTTTTTGTTCAGATAGAGCGGGAGGGAGAGAGAGGAACAGAGAGAGAGAGAAACATCGACGTGAAGGGACACATCGAGTGGCTGCCACCCGCACGACCAACCAGGGCCGGGGACAAACTGCAACCGAGGTACGTGCCCTTAGCGGGAACCGAGCCCGGGTCTCTCTGGACCGCAGGCCGACGCTCCAACCGCTGAGCCAAACCGGCCAGGGCCAGAGATGACATTTATAATACTTGCAACTAAAATGCCATGATCATTAGCAAATAAACCTAACACAGGGCCTTCAGGCAACTTCTTTATTCTTTTTAAAAATTTAGACTATTTTACAAGCTACTAAATCTAAGAGAATCTAAATACAGTCAGGCTTCTAAAAATATGTCATCTGCGTGGTAGCGACACTGGTGGTTCCAACCTGCAGAAACCTGTGTGAATCAGGACCAGTCCTGTTACCCGGAGGCTACGTCCCGGAGTCTTCAGTCCTGACTCACTGCAGAGGAAGGACGGCCGGCGGCTCCATGAGAGACACGTGCATGTACCTGGAACGAGACCCGGAGCGGGCTCAGCACACGCCAGACGGTCCCCTTCCGTGGAACTCAGGCCACAGAAAACGTGCTGGTCGTTCAACAGAAAGAGGGACACTAGCCACTGTACTACCAGCTGATTCACTGTAAGTCTAGGTCTCTCTGAACCGACTTTCTTTTCTGTTTGTTTCCTTCTGTTGGTTTGTTTTTAACTGGTTTTTCTGATTTAACACACACCCCTGCCTTTCCAGCCTAGCCCCAGATGTAGAGTTTGTTCTATTTCTTTAAAATAATTTATCTTTATTGATTTTAGAGGGAGAGGGAGAGAGAGAGAAACATTGATGAGAGAGAACATCGATTGGCCGCCTCCTGCAGGCCCCCCACTGGGGATGGGCCCACAACCTGGGCATGTGCCCTGACGGGAATCGAACCAGTGACCGCTTGGTGCAGGGTCAGTGCCCAACCACTGAGCCGCACCGGCTAGTTTTAATTCTGCCATTGTTATGCCCTAGGAAAGCCTCAAAGCTGTCAAGCGTGAGCCAGGAAAGGGTGTGGGGCCTCACTTGGAAGTCTTGTACTTCTCCCGGACGGCCTGCTGCGGACGCCGGGGCTCGGCGAGGCAGGCCTGGTGCAGCGCGCGCAGGCAGGGGGCGATCTCGCGCAGCGTGTAGCCTGTGAAGGCCGCCAGGGTGTCCGGCTGAGAGGGACAGAGAGAGAAACCACGGACCTTCCTAAGGCTCGAGAACTCTGAAGACGGGACTGAAACAGCGTTCAGGAGGCACTTAGGGTCCATGTTGTTTCCAAAGACACCATCATCCTTCACAGAGACCTTAGGCACAGAACACGAGACGGAGCAGCCAGGGTCCTCAGTGTGCTCAGATCGTGCATTTACCCCGTTTACCAGGAATATGAAAGCTTCCCAGCCAATGCAGGAGGAACGCGCATTCTAGAAAATAAAAGTAGGCACCCCCGTTCATTCAGCTCCAAAGTGAGCCTCAGAACCGGATCTAACGGCCCCTTTCCTATCGCGCCTCCTGCTTGGGCCGAGAGGCAACATCGACTTCCCTGTCGCCTTGAAAGCATAATCCGACCTGCTGAGCATCTTAATGGGACCGCGGCTGTCAACACATTCCGGGGGGAAAGTCACCCACTTCCGCTTGAAGGGGTCAGCGCCCACACGGCCAGCCCCTGCACGGAGCGGGCATTCCGGCCGCCAGGCCTGCTGCTGTCGAGGGGCTTCCTGGGAGCGCTCTCCAGAGACAGCCACGTGTCCACGCCACCGACACTGGTGCGGTCTGCTGGCAGGACTCCTGAGAGGCCAGCCCACTCTAAGCAAGAGTTACTGAGAGGATGGATTGGCCTGGCGATCCCTCCAGAACCCAGGGACCGAGCCTTACCCAGAAGTGCCTGTTCACAGTGTAGTTGGCCAGGCAGTAAGCGGCTGCAGCTATCAGTGAAGGGAGGTATCTCAGGAACGGATCAGCTTCCAGTAGACTCAGCTCTGCTACGTACTGCAGCCAGAGAAAGATCACATTGGCATGAGGAATTCGGCTAAGGTTACATGTAAACTTTAAAATGTCGAGGGAGTCCGGCCGGTGTGGCTCAGTGGTTGAGCGTCGACCTGTCACCAAGAGGTTGGTGGTTTGATTCCTGGTCAGGGCACATGCCCAGGTTGTGGGCCCGATCCCCAGTGGGGGGCGTGCAGGAGGCGGCCAGTCGATGTTCTCTCTCATCGATGTTTCTAACTCTCTCTTCCTCTCCCTCCTGTTCTCTCCAAAACCGATAAAGGAAAAAAATATATACATCAAGGGAACTGCCCCGGGTGGTGTGGCTCAGTTGGTTGGGCATCGTCCTGTGCACCAAGTGGATGTAGGTTCAGTCCCATTCAGGGCACATGCCAGGGTTGCAGGCTGAATGCCCGGTAAGGAGCGTGAAGGGGCAGCCCATGTTTCTGCCTCTCTCTCCCTTACTCTCTGTCTTAAAAAAATGTCAGAGGAACAAATAGTGTCTTATTTTTGTACAGCTACATCCACTGCACCTGCAGAGGACACTCAGATTGTTCACCAGGCTGACACCTGCCATGCCTGTCTACAACCAGAATAATGTGACATTGTGATAAATGTCAGTGCACAAGTGCCAGCCTGTGCACAGTGGGTGTGAACAGTCACTTCTCCTTTACTGGCGGCACCATGTGTGTGAACAGTCACTCCTCCTCTGCTGGCAGCACAGTGTGTGTGAATAGTCACTCCTCCTGTGCTTAAGGGTGTGAACAGTCACTCCTCCTATACTGGCGGCACCATGTGTGTGTGGACAGTCACCCCTCCTATGCTGGCAGCAAGTGTGTGTGTGAACAGTCGCTCCTCCTGTGCTGATGACACAGTGTGTGTGGACAGTCGCTCCTCCTGTACTGGCGGCACAGTGTGTGTGTGAACAGTCGCTCCTCCTGTGCTGATGACACAGTGTGTGTGTGAACAGTCGCTCCTCCTGTGCTGGTGGCACAGTGTGTGTGGACAGTCGCTCCTCCTGTGCTGGCGGCACAGTGTGTGTGGACAGTCGCTCCTCCTGTACTGGCGGCCCAGTGTGTGTGTGAACAGTCGCTCCTCCTGTGCTGGCGGCACAGTGTGTGTGGACAGTCGCTCCTCCTGTACTGGCGGCCCAGTGTGTGTGTGAACAGTCGCTCCTCTTGTCCTGGCGGCACAGTGTGTGTGTGAACAGTCGCTCCTCCTGTGCTGGTGACACAGTGTGTGTGTGAACAGTCGCTCCTCCTGTGCTGGTGACACAGTGTGTGTGTGAACAGTCGCTCCTCCTGTACTGGCGGCACAGTGTGTGTGTGAACAGTCGCTCCTCCTGTCCTGGTGGCACAGTGTGTGTGTGAACAGTCGCCCCTCCTGTGCTGGTGACACAGTGTGTGTGTGAACAGTCGCTCCTCCTGTCCTGGCGGCACAGTGTGTGTGTGAACAGTCGCTCCTCCTGTCCTGGTGGCACAGTGTGTGTGTGAACAGTCGCTCCTCCTGTGCTGGTGACACAGTGTGTGTGTGAACAGTCGCTCCTCCTGTCCTGGTGGCACAGTGAGTGTGGACAGTCACTCCTCCTGTCCTGGTGGCACAGTGTGTGTGTGAACAGTCGCTCCTCCTGTGCTGGTGACACAGTGTGTGTGTGAACAGTCGCTCCTCCAGTTCTGGTGGCACAGTGTGTGTGTGAACAGTCACTCCTCCTGTCCTGGTGGCACAGTGTGTGTGGACAGTCGCTCCTCCTGTACTGGCGGCCCAGTGTGTGTGTGAACAGTCGCTCCTCTTGTCCTGGCGGCACAGTGTGTGTGTGAACAGTCGCTCCTCCTGTGCTGGTGACACAGTGTGTGTGTGAACAGTCGCTCCTCCTGTGCTGGCGGCACAGTGTGTGTGTGAACAGTCGCTCCTCCTGTACTGGCGGCACAGTGTGTGTGTGAACAGTCGCTCCTCCTGTCCTGGTGGCACAGTGTGTGTGTGAACAGTCGCCCCTCCTGTGCTGGTGACACAGTGTGTGTGTGAACAGTCGCTCCTCCTGTCCTGGCGGCACAGTGTGTGTGTGAACAGTCGCTCCTCCTGTCCTGGTGGCACAGTGTGTGTGTGAACAGTCGCTCCTCCTGTGCTGGTGACACAGTGTGTGTGTGAACAGTCGCTCCTCCTGTCCTGGTGGCACAGTGAGTGTGGACAGTCACTCCTCCTGTCCTGGTGGCACAGTGTGTGTGTGAACAGTCGCTCCTCCTGTGCTGGTGACACAGTGTGTGTGTGAACAGTCGCTCCTCCAGTTCTGGTGGCACAGTGTGTGTGTGAACAGTCACTCCTCCTGTCCTGGTGGCACAGTGTGTGTGTGAACAGTCGCTCCTCCTGTACTGGCGGCACAGGTGCATGCTGCTCAGGCAGAGCGGCAGGGCTCTAGCCACGGCAGTGGGACTCCAGATCTCAGGGAAAGGCAGACTGTGACCATGCTGTAGCTGTTCTCGGCAGGGAAAAGCAGCAGTTTGGAGGCTAGAACAGTCCAGTGGGAATTGGTCAGATTAGAAGAAACATACTGGGAAATGTATGTTCCTTATTGCTGTTTGCGTAGTATAGACATACCAGATACACTAAATCATCATGGTTGAAAACCAAGTTTTCCAAACCAAGATGTACTTTACTGCCTTCGACAGAGTCTGTAACCCCAAACAAACGAACTTCATTACTCAGTAGGTTAGGAGATTAGAGCCAAATCAAATCACATCGACTTTGTTCCCATTCTGTACATCTAAGAGATACTGCTTGCATGCGGTCAGGATCCAGCAAGGGAACATTTCCAAGCTTAAATTTCTTTAAGAATTGAGTGATCAGACAACCTGTGCCTGCCAAACATGATCAATAGTAATGTCTCGTAACCAGGACTTGTGTTCTTAAAATTAGCTCTCTTCCATGGCTAAAAACTTTTCCTGGGTCCAAGACAAAAAAACAAACAAACAAAAAACAACTGAAAAGGAAGGAAGAACTGAAGGATGACTGAAAAGGCTACTTTTCCCCAACTTGCACCAGCGGTCTCGGCAGTCAGGCATACCTTGGCCAGGTTCTCCGTTCTGACGCACACTCCTTGTCTCCTTATGTACTGAAGGAGAAACTGATTGGTGGTCGGCACCGTCAGGTCGAAAGCCAGGACTTTCAGGAGTAGGTGCTCCATTCTTAACAGCTGTCGTTTGGTGTAAGTATCATCAGTGATGTAGACAAACTCGTCCACTTCGGGTGGATAGATTTCTTCATATTTCCTGTGAAAGGAAAAGTGTCTCTGGAAGTGATGCTTGGAGCCAGTGTCTCTCCTCCCCGTGCTACCAAACCTCCCACGTGGCCCTTCAGACCTAAATCCACTACATGGGCCCGGCCGGTGTGGCTCAGTGGTTGAGCGTCAACCCTGCACCAAGAGGTCGCCGGTTTGATCCCTGTTCAGGGCACATGCCCAGGTTGTGGGCCCGATCTCCAGTGGGAGGCATGCAGGAGGCGGCCAGTCAATGTTCTCTCTCATCAATGTTTCTATCTCTCTCTCCTTCTCCCTTCCTCAGGCCCACAACCTGGGCATGTGCCCTGAGCAGGAATCGAACGGGTGACCTCTTGGTGCAGGGGTTGATGGACACTCAATCACTGAGCCACACCAGCCGGGCCCATTCAGAAAAAAACATTTTTTAAAATTTCACTAAATGGTACAGGGCTCTGAAAATATCAGGAATTTGTTTCCAGAACAAGAACGTGAGCATTACAACGACATGCTGTACTAACTACTAGGAGTAACAGAAACAATGTCCAACTAAGACTTCTGGTTGCAGCCTCTGATATACTGAAAAATTCTGAACGGCAGGCATACATGGAAACTCTTAATTAAAACCACCTTGTGGGAAGCAGTGTTCCTTAAGTCTTAGATTTTAATTAATTAATTTATTTTTTCCTTATTTTTTTTAACTTCTCTTTATTGTTGAATGTATTACAGATGTCCCTCCTTCCCCCCGCCCATTGACTCCCTCCTCCCCACTCCCGCCCTTCTCCTGCCTTCCCCACACTGTCGTCTGTGCATTGGTTATGTAGTATGCATATGCATAAAGTTCTTTGGTTTCTCTCTTCCCACCCCACCTCCCCCCTTCCCTTTGAGGTTGCTCAGTCTGACAACCAATCTGCAGTTCTTAATCCCTTCGTCTTTTTCACCCATCCTCCCAGCCCCCACCCATCTGGCAAACAACAAAAAGTTCTCTGTATTTATGAGTCTGTTTCTAGTCTGCTTGCTCATTTTGTTTGTAGATTCAATTGTTGATACGTATGTATTTATTGCCATTTTACTGTTCATATAGTTTTGTCTTCTTCTTCAAGAAGACCCATCAACATCTCATATAATGCTGGTTTGGTGGTGATGAACTCCTTTAGCTTTTTCTTCTCTGGGAAACTCTTGATATGGTCATTGATGCTAAATGTTAGCTTTGCAGGATAGAGTATTCTTGGTTGTAGGTCGTTGCTTTTCATCACTCTGAATATTTCTTGCCATTCCCTTCTGGCCTGCAAAGTTTCTTTTGAGAAATCAGCTGACAGCCTAATGGGAACTCCCTTGTAGGTGACTAGCTGCCTTTCTCTTGCTGCTTTTAAGATTCTCTCTTTGTCTTGAACCTTTTGCATTTTGATGATGATGTGTCTTGGTGTGGGCCTCTTTGGGTTCATCTTGTTTGGGACTCTCTATGCTTCCTGGACTTGTATGTCTGTTTCCTTCACTAAGTTAAGGAAGTTTTCTGGCATTATTTTTTCTAATAAGTTTCCAATTTCTTGCTCTTGCTCTTCTCCTTCTGGCACTCCCACGATGCGAATGTTGGTACACTTGAGGTTGTCCCAGAGGCTCCTTACACTATCCTCATTTTTTTTGGATTCTTTTTTCTTTTTGCTGTTCTGATTATGTGTTTCTTGCTTCTTTATATTCCAAATTGAAGGTTTGCTTCTTGGCCTCACTTACTCTACTAAAGAAGAATTTATTTCGGTTAGTGTGTCCTTCCTTTCTGACTGGCCCTTTATTACATTCTTGAGGCCCAAAGTTCCTTCACGTTTTCATGAAGTTCCCTGAAATTCTAAGTTCATTGAGTGTCCTTATGCAGTGTTTTGAGCTCTGCATCTGTTAGATTGCTTATCTCCATTTTGTTTAGTTCTTTTCCTGGAGTTTTGTTCTGTTCTTTCATTTGGGACCTGTTTCCTTGTCTCCTCATTTTGGCTGCCTCCCTGTGTTTGTTTCTATGTATGAGGTAGAGTTGCTACGTCTCCTGGGCTTCCTAGGGTGGCCTGTTGTAGTAGTTGTCCTGTAGGTTCCAGTGACACAGCCTCCCTGGTCACCCATCTGGGCCCTCGAGGTGCACCCCTCTTGTGGACTTTACATCCTCCTGCTGTACTTGAGTCTTGATTGCTGTTGGCACATCAATGGGAGGGGTTTACTCAGGCTGATCAGCTGCAAGGACTGGCTGTGCCCACTGACCAGATCAGCTGTGCAGGGCCCACTACACAGAGCAAGACTTACTTCAGCAGGGCTCTGAGCCCCACTGAGTCCACTCATTGAGTGTGTCACTTGTGGAGGTGGTTGAGTAGTGGTGCTTCAACGTGGTCTGAAGTTGTCCACTGGGTGTGCTGGCTCTGGGGCCAGGTCAGCCACTGCCTGTGTTCTATCCAGGGCCACCCGGCATAAGCTACAAAGCGATCTGCAGGTGGCTGCTTCTTGTGCTGAGCTTGGAGGTGTCCAGGCGAAGCCAAGCTATGAACCAAGGCTGGCTGCTCCTAGTGCCAGGCCTGGGGCCACTAAACGAGATGCATGGGGCTCCCTGTGGCCAGATGCTGCTTGTTTGAGAAAATTTAGGAAAATCTGAAGCAGGAGCCAAGACAGGCCAATCCTATGGTAAAGCCACTGGAAGCAGCTGGGTTGGGCCTGAAAGTGGGTGGGGCGGGGCCTCAGGGACACCAGGGCGGGGCTACCAGTGTGAGCCAGGTTGCTGGGGTCCCAGATATGGGGGCTGTCTGCCACCCCAGGGAAGTGCTAACCAAAGGAACAATGGCCTCAGCCAGCACATCTGCCCAGGAGAAAGCCCCCTCTCCAGCCCTCGCTCCAATGCCAAACAGCTCAGTTCTTCCCCGTTTGTCTCTGGTGCCTTTCAAGCTGCCCCAACAATGCTGGAGCCTGGAGGGAGCGGGTCTGAGTAAGTCCGTGCACGGGCCCTTTAAGGAGCTGCCTGGGGCTCCAGCTGCCTCAGCCTCCCTCAGCCTCAGTTCCTGCTGGTTTTCCAGCCAGAAGTGATGGGGACTCTCTTCCTGGCTCTGGGACCCTGAGCGGGGCGCCTGGTGTGGGATGGGGACCCCTCAGTCCTCAGGGAGGACCTTCCCAGCAGAGGTGTCCTCCTGATTTTTATCCGCCACACGTGGGTGTGGGACCAGCCCGTCCCCTCCACCCCTCCTACCAGTCTCCAGGTGGCTTCTTTAATCTCGTAGTTGTAGGACTTCCATTCAGCTTGGTGACAGGTGCTTCTGAAGGATGGTTGTTCTGTAGTTCAGTTGTGATTTGATGTGGTTGTGATTTGAGAGGAGGTGAGACCACGTTTACCTACCCACCGTCTTGACCAGAAGTCAAGTCTTAGGTTTTTAAAAAGATTATGTTTAGCCCTGGCCAGTTTGGCTCAGCGGTTAAAGCGTCGGCCTGCAGTCCGGAGAGACCCGGGTTCGGTTCCCGCTAAGGGCATGTACTTCGGTTGCAGTTTGTCCCCGGCCCTGGTTGGTCGTGCGGGTGGCAGCCACTCGATGTGTCCCTTCACGTCGATGTTTCTCCCTCTCTCTCTTCCTCTCTCTCCCTCCCACTCTATCTGTACAAAAAATGGAAAAATATCCTTGGGTGAGGATAAAAAAAAAAAAAAAAAAGATTATGTTTAGCTTTCTCTATTGAATTAGCAAATGATGCCATATACCCAAGAGAATGATAATGATGATGTTTCACTGTTAGCAGTGATTTGCTTCTGCCTTTATTTCTCCTTTCTGTAGCAGAATTTTGGCAAGGTTTGGGGCATTAATAACTAGTCTCTCTGAGCCAAGAACAGAGGGACAACGACTTCTCAGCACACGTCACTGAATTAATGACAGCTCGGCCACCACCCAGATCTTCTCCACACCATTAGATACTATTATCCATGACTATAGTGACAGGAACTAGCTAACAGAATGTATTCATTGTAACCACCTAAAAGCTGGTGTTATGAATCACTTACCAGATGGTGAAGGTGGCTTTTATATAACCACAGTCTCCTTAAATAGGACTTGTACTTCTACTAGAATACAGCCCAAAGGCTACACAATGGTTAAGTTGCAGCCTGAATTTGAGCTGACGGCTGCCTTCATCATGAAACCGTACTTGTCACTATCAACCACAGACGTCTGACTGCAGAGTGCACGGGCGGTGAGACTGTTTCGCAGTAAACACCGTCACAGGGGCGTGACTGCGTGTCGGGACCAAGCACTGCGCTTCTTCCGTGAGAGGAGGGCGCACCGTGTGTTCTGACAGGCGGCAGCCTCGGGGGCTGAAGCGGAAACACTTACGAAGCCAGCAGGATGGCCGCCGTCCCCACCAGCTGCAGTTTCCCGCGCAGCACCGACATGCACGACAGGAACCTGTCCAGGAAGTTGACGGCCAGGTAGAGCGTCTCCGCCCGCAGCTGGTACTCCTCGCCCACCTCCACCAGCCAGTCCACCAGGATCCTCCGCATGCCGTCCGTGATGTCCGGCTGCTTCCTCATGTAGTGCGCCTTGGGCCGGTGTCGCACCTGTTCGGGGAAGGTGTTCTGATTGGTACACGCGTGGCTGCTGTTTTAGAAACGTCACGAGCAGAGATTCGGAGGGGACGGACAGGAGCCAAGCCGAGTACAGTGTGGGGCTCTGGTTCTGCAGTGCAGCCAGGTGCACATGAAGCAGGGAGGAGGCAATACGCATTGCTCCTCACAGCGAATAGTCCCGTGGAAGCCCTGTGAATCGTGCCACTGACCTCAGGACCAGGATTTTTTCAAAGAAATTCTCACATTGAGGTGGCATAAGAATGCCATCCACTCGCGGTTGTGGCCAAGAATCTGTCACTATCTGAATGCGATGTGGCTGGGGTGCTGGGAATTGAGGGGGGCTTTGGGGAAGCTTACTTCCGCCTCTCTGAGGTACTGATGAATTTCTTCAGCGTACTCGGTCACATTGATCATGTCTGTGCCAACATCGGGCGCATCTTCAGACTGGGAGTGAAGAGATGAGTCTACCAGCATAGGGGACACTGCGGGGTCAACATGATCAGGTGAGACATTCCGTTCCGTCCACTCACCCTCCACAGGCGGCCGAGCAGCCGTCGTCACGTCGTGTCTTCTCCTGCTTGGACCCCGCTGCTGCACACGGCAGGCCGCTGTGAACACAGGTCCCTACCACCCGCCGGTGTCGCACCTGTGTCGTGGGGGAGTCGGATTACCTGCGCTAAAATCCAGCAGGAAGTGCAGGTCTGACTTGAGGGTGCTGGTGTCCACTTCATACACGTCCTCAAATGCCATCCTGTCTTTCCCGGCGCAGCTGTCCCCGCCCTGCTCGGGCTCATCCATGTAGATGTCGAAGCCCTGCTTGGCCGGCACGTGCACCCCGCAGTGGGAGGCCACCTTCTTTCCAGCTGGAGGGCAGACATTCTCTGCTCCCGAGAAGCACCTGACTGTCGTGAGGCCCTGGAAAGGGGTTACGTTTGATGTTAGAGGTCACCCCAGAGTCCAGCAGGAGATGTGAACCTGTGTGACTCAACACAGCCGGAGGGAAGATGGCAGGAATCCGACACTGGCATATATTTTTCTGCAATGCCGTTTCAGAAAAAGGCAGCTCCCAAAGTCTGACTCCTCCCTTGTCTCTGTCTACATCTGACGAGGGGGCAAAGCACTATTGAAAACTTGTCTTCCTCACATATTTGTGAAAGGGAACTCGGGATTATAGAGAAAAGAAACCACAGCTCTTCGGGAACACGAGAGGTGCCACGTGGGAGGGGCTTGCTAATGGGCTCTCGGGCTCGCAGGGCGTCACAGGGTTCTGCAGGCACCTGGCATGCCCCGGGGGCACCGTCACTGAGTCCCTGCACCTTCCTCCTTAGACACTTAACGTTCCGCCAGCAGCCCCATCGAGTTCCCGTTTCATAACCACTTAGTTAGAAACAGGACGATTTTAGAAACTTATACTGTTAGATTCTCCTAACAGAGAATACTTCCGCATGACCTGGTGGGGGAATCGAACCGTCAGTGGACCGCATCTCCCTCTCTCTACTCCCGTAAGACTAATGATGGCAACAACGGTGTGTGCGCCCTCTGTGGACAAGCGTAAGCATCACACGCTGCTGCACATTCAGCCGAGTGGCCTGGGGTGGCCTTCAGCTGAACGAGGGCAGATGGGCACACTTTATGAAACGAAGTTATATTTATGCAAATGCCAGGCCTAGCGACTGCCTTCACTTTGATCATCTATCGTTACCTGTGGTGTCTACTGTTGAGACGCCTTCCAAATGATGCTTCCATAATGTTCCCTTCCATCTAGCAAGTTACATAGGTAGCTATGTCTACTCCAGTACAAAAAAACTTTTTCTTCTTACTTCTTACTTAAATCTATTTGTTGATTTTTAGAGAGAGAGAGGGCAAGAACAAGAGAGAGAAACATCAAGGTGAGAGAGAAACCCCGACTGTGGATCTAACCCACAACCTGGGTGTGTGCCCCGACCGGGAACAGAAACCATAACCCTCTGGGTGTACAGGACTATGCTCCAACCAACTGAGCCACCTAGCTGGGGCAAGAGGAAATTTCTTTACGGTAATTCTGGAAAAATCACATGGACTATGAAGGACCAAACTCAGATGTTACTATAATCAGGCCATTAAAATTTCAAATTACTACCATGTTTGACGTTTGCTACATATGCATGTACATGAGTCAGGATGTGTGTTCAATACACATTTCCTGAGCGTCTACCATGTGCCAGACATTGTCTGGATGTGCAGAATTTCCAATGACCCAACGTTAAAAAAGAACTGCCCTCGTGAGGTTTATATTCCAGTTGGGAGGACGGGAGAAAGACAAATAAGAAAAGACATAGTGAGGCCCAGCCGGTGTGGCTCAGTGATTGAGCATCGACTCTGCACCAAGAGGTCACCAGTTTGATTCCCAGTCAGGGTACATGCCCAGGTTTTGGGCTTGATGCCCGGTGATGTGTGCAACTCAGTGGTTGAGCATTGACCCACACACCAAGAGGTCACCAGTTTGATTCCCAGTCAGGGCACATGCCCGGGTTTTGGGCTTGATGCCCGGTGATGTGTGCGGCTCAGTGGTTGAGCATTGACCCTGCACCAAGAGGTCACCAGTTTGATTCCCGGTCAGGGCACATGCCCAGGTTTTGGGCTTGATGCCTGGTGATGTGTGTGCAGGAGGCGGCCAATCAATGTGTCTCTTTCATCAATGTTTCTGTCTCTCTCTGCCTGTCCCTTCCTCTCTCTCTAAAGTAAATAAGAATAAAGTTTTTAAAAAAATACAAATAAGAAAAGACATAGTAGGGCAAATAGTGATACGTGCTTTGGAGAAGAACACAGGGAAGACCGTCGCTGCTGTTTTAAACGGTGTGGCAGGGAAGCCCATGAAGAAGGCCAGGTTGGGCAAAGCCATGGGCACGTGAAGAGGGTGAGTCCCACAAACAGAGGAGGAAAGAGCTGCGTGGTGGAGGAGCAGCAGGGCATAAGCCCTGAGGTTGAAGGGTGTCTAAGAGACACGGCAAGAAGCAGACAGCAGAGTGAGAAAGAGTAGCGTACTAGGTCACGAAGTCGGAAAGAAGAGAGAAGCCGATCGTGCAGGCCTGACCAGAGGCCACTGAAGGGGTATCTTCTATTCTGAGGTGGGCAGCGTTGGGGAGTTTGGGGCAACGGCGTGGGACGGTCCAGTTGACGTTTTAAAGGCTCATCCTGGCTACGCAGAGGCGCAGAGAGCAAGTAAGATGAACACGACAGCCAGCTGTTCTACTGGCAAATCCCAGCTAAGATACCGTAGGGTTTTGAGCCAGTGTAGTAAAGGGTGAGAAATAAAGATGTTCTGGACATTTTTAAAAGTTAAGCCAGCCCTGGCCGGTTTGGCTCAGCGGTTGGGGCGTCGGCCTGCGGTACAGAGAGACCCGGGTTCGGTTCCCGCTAAGGGCACGTACCTCGGTTGCAGTTTGTCCCCGGCCCTGGTTGGTCATGCGGGTGGCGGCCACTCGATGTGTCCCTTTCACGTCGATGTTTCTCTCTCTCTCTCTCTTCCTCTCTCTCCCTCCCGCTCTATCTGAACAAAAAATGGAAAAATGTCCTCCGGTGAGGATAAAAAATAAATAAATAAGAGTAAAGCCAATAGTATTTTTTTTTCCAGCAAAATCGAGGTGGGGTAGGAAGAAAGGAGTCCAGATGACAAAGCTTTGGGGGCTGAATGACAGGGAGGATGGAGATTCCGTCTGTTGAGGCGAGAGGACTTGGGAAGGGCGGTGGGACCTACGTTTGGTTTTGCACAAGCCTGAGGTTCCAAGGGGAGCGTCAGATGGGCTGCTGACCCTGAGCCTACGTCAGAGCGGAGAGGTCAAGGCGGGGGAGGGGAGGGGGCCAGAGCAGGTCAGTGGTGCCTGCTGTACAGAGACTTGGGGAGATGTCCAGGGGAGGGGTGCAGACTCCCACCAAACACTAAGCCCGGAGCACTCTGGCTTTGAGGGGCTGGAGAAGGAACAACCGCGGTGTCTGGGGGGTGGCCATTGAGCGCGGTGGGCATCCAGGACAGAGTCGTTTTCTCCAGGCTGAGTGAGGAGAAAGTTCTTTCCAGAAATAGAGATCCGCTAAGTGTGCAAAAGACTAACATCGAGTTGGAGTGAACACAAGAACTAGAGACAGAGACCGTTCCGTCGGCAAACGCTGGGGTGCTTCCCGGGCCGGCGGTGTTCCGAGCCCGAACACTCCCGCACCCTCAGCCTGACAGAGGCGGGACCAACCGACTCCTCAGGGACACTGCTGTACATAGACAGACCCGGCGAAGCGCTTTCTGTTGAAAGATGTTTAAGACAGGAGCGTTACATCTGTTTGCTTATGCGTTTGATGCCGCAGAGAAAAGAAAACTGAGAAGAGAGAGAGAAAAGAAGAGTTGCTGGAGTCATGTCCTTGAAGAGCAAAGCGGGTGTAAGGTGTACCGCACAAGTAGGGGTTCATCTTGCATAAGAACAAGGACATTAGCCCCACAGCCATGTAGTTATGTGGCCGTGCAGTCATCAGTCATGGTGACGGAGCATGTGGGACGCGGGAGCACATGGAACGTCTCCTCTGCTCGCTTTTATATTTTTAGGGAAAGAGGGTACGAGGCCATTCACTGGGAGTAAGGGCGGAGGCGGAGGCTGTGAGGACGGAGGAGAGACTCCGGGTGTGAACAGATCTGGGAAGGCTGCAGAGGAGTCAGGCTGAGAAATGCAGAGCTTAGACCAGTCAGCAGCGGTGCAGCCGCCAGTTCGTAAGAACCAGGTCTTAGATTTCACGTTTAAAGAAGGAAACATTGCTAAGCAAATTGGATTTGTTAAAACCAACTTCACTCGTTTTCTTCCAAAGCTTTAAGCAGATCACTGTGAGTATTGTTCTCCCACTAATGAGATGCCACAAAAATGCTTCAACGGTCAGGTCCGTAAATGAGGGGCTTCCGATCCGGCCTCCTCCACTGTGCCTTTTCTTTCTCTTGGTTTTCTAAACCCTCTTAAATTTTCTCACCTATCACATGGGAAGGATATCCCTGGCCCAAAGCTCAGGGGGCTAGAGCGGTACCCCAATATGCCAAGACTGCAGGTTCCATGCCTGGTCAGGGCACATACGAGAAACAGACAATGAATGTATAAGTGAAACAAGAAGTCTCTCTCTCTCTCTCTGTCTCTCTCTCAAATCAATCAATAAAAAACATCTCTTTAAACAATAGAAAAGATACCCAGTCTGCCGACCTCACTGGACTACTGCCAGCATCGTTTAACTACAAATGTGTGATATAGGCTTAATAAGCACTGTGATCAGGATTTTGTCTAATAACAGACTTGGGGAAGCTTTTTTTTTTTTTAAACCTGAAAATCCATTCTTAAGGATCCAAAGCCCTCATTTGTATGCATGTGTCTGAATTTGTTTCACTCTGTTAAGGGATGGGCTAAGCACTGTCTAATGGAGGCTGTCTGCCAGCAGCCGTATATCAGTGCCAGGAGACACGTACTTTCAAAGCACTTTTTGAAACAATCCGGTCTGGCCTGATCCAATCCTGATTCTAAACACTCTCCAGTGAACACGGAAGGCAAAGAGTATCCACTCTGGACCTGACCTGGAGTAACCCCAGTTCTATCCTTAGTCTGGGGGCACTGACATCTCCTTTCAGCCAGCATGGGAATGATCTTACATACACTGAACCCAAACAGTTCCTAGACCCTTCCCTCCATTATGGGGGGGGGGGGGGATTATTCACTATTTGTGGCTGGAAAGGGATCCAACAAGATGATCTTAAACTATTCGGTGTCCCCATAGTCCAGATTCCAGGGCGGGAATCCCCAAGGAGACTGTGCAGGTAAAACTGCAGAGAAACCACCTCCCACCTTGGCGAGAGAGCCCAATGGGCGGCTTCCCCAGCGCCTCCTGGTCATTACCTGGCCGCAGGTCTTCCCGTACTGTCCATTCTCCGTTAGCACCCTGAGCACTGTTCTCTGGGCGGGCTCCTGGCCGAGCGGGGCTCTGGCTGTCACCTCACAGGTGTCAGGACCTCGCGGCAGGGGAGCCAGCATGACTCTGCTCTTGGAGCTGCTGAGATGCATCACCTCCGCCTCCACAGGCCGCTGCCATCGGGAAGGAGACAGACAAGAGCCGGTTAGTGCCTCTCCCACCGGCGGCCTTGGCTGCAGGGACTCTCCAGGGCCAGAGCGCGGAGACTGGTCTGTCCTCCAGCTACTGGGGCTGGAAGGCGGGGCCAGGGGGCGCAAGCTAACAAAGCGGCTTTGCACCCACACAGCGACTTGAACCCAGGTCTTCGGACCCAAGACCTGGTTGACGCCGCCGGAGGGAAGGAGCAGCCAGACAGACCTCGAAGCCAGGACACTTGGGGTCTAACCTACAGGCCCCAGTCCTTCTTCCCCGCGAGGTCACCCCGCCCCCGCCCCCCTGCAAGCCCAAGACCTAGGGTGCATCCCTGCGGGGAGAACGAGCCCCAGCGACCAGCAGGGTGCTCCTCCGCACCCCCCGCCCTCCGGACGGAGGCCCAGGCGGGGCTCGCTCCCGCAGCCTGTCTTTAGGGGTGTCCGGGACAATGGGGGTGCACGGAGGATGGGGCGAGGGGCCGTGGGCGTGCGGGCGGCCGGGAGGCCACAGGGGCGGGCAGATTCGGGCGGAGGTGCGGCTCCGGCCGGGCTGGGCGCTGACCTTTCCCCACCGTCGCCGCCCCGCCCGCAGAGCCGGCCAATCAGCGGGCCCCGGGGCTCGCGGCGCCTCCGTGCCAACCGCAGCGCGGGGGGCGCCCGGCGCTCACCTGGCCACCTGGCCACCTCCCCCGACGGTGCGGCCGCGCCCGGCGCTCAGGGCGGCCCGGCGGCGGCTCCCGGCGGCTCCTGCGCGCCCCCCGGAGCCCGCTCTGCGCCCCGCTGGCCCGCGCCGCGCCTGGCAGGGAGGGCGGCGCACCCCCGATGGGCCCGTTCTCCCCACAACCGCTAACTCCTCCCGCCAACGTCTTTTCCGCGGCCCGCTCCCGAGAACCCTGGCTCGGGAGAGCGACGCGGGCCCTCGGGGCTGCGCAGGCCGGCGCCCCGCTTCGCCCGCCCGCGGGCGGCTCGCTCCCCGCCTGGCCCCAGCGGGGGGCCGGGCCTCCTCCTCCGGGGTGGCGCCCCGCCTGCGGTCATTTGGGGTTCTTGGGCCCCAGAGGCAGCGCCTGGCAGCCCCGGCCTTCTGTGCACGCGGCCCCGCAGGGCAGGAGAGAAGATTTGGAGTTTTAGGGTCCCACGCGGTCCCTAATCTCTTGCAGTCCGCGCAAGAGGTTGCCCGCACGGCTCGGCAGCCAGGGCATGTCAGGAACGACGAAGTGGAGCCCCAGGAAGAGGAAGGAACGCGGGTGGCAGCGACGGCCCGGACCTGGAGGGGCGCCGTGAGGCTCAGAACTGGGCTGTGCACTGGGCTGGCCACGTGGGGAGGGAAACCCCTGGGTGCCGGGGAGCGGAGGGGGTCCTTGGACAGCTAGGAAGGAAGCCGACCTGTGTGACCCTAGAGGTGGGGGCAGGGAGGGAGGAGAGTCGGGGAGCCTGGCACCTGCTGAGGTGACTGGCAACTGGCCAGCCAATTAAAGGATCTTTAACATTATTATTATTATTATTATTATTATTATTATTTTGGTACGTGCCCCTAGCGGGAACCGAATCCCAGACTCTCTGGTCCACAGGCCAACGCTCCGACCGCTGAGCCGGACCGGCCAGGGCTTATTGTTACATCTGAATGCGGACATAAGACTTTGAGTCAGGCGTTGCTGGGAAGCTGAGAAGCACCTTGGACATCAGTGTTGGGTGCAGGCGAGCAGAAAAGGGTCTCGTGCAGTAGGAAACTGATTTCTGTGAGTGTGCCCCTGAATTCATTCATGGGGGCTGCCATCCGCCGCAGACCGGATTTCTAGGCCTTGGCGTATGCAGCCGCGGGGAGCCCTGGTCACGCCTGGGCTGCTGAGTCACCGGCAGGCAGGGACCCGCGGCTTTGCTGGGCGAGGTGCCCACCGGGTGGAGGAAGGGTGGGCTCCCTCCTCCAGCCTTGCGCTGCTTCTAGACCTCTTCCTGGGACACCCCCCGCCCCAGACCCGCAGTACTGTTCTGATTCAGGGGACACTGGAGGTCTCCAGGGGGACTCCTCAGGGGTTCCAGCAACTCTTGCCAAGAACTCCAGTTGCTTTGGTGGAGCAGATGTCCCTGCACTTGTGTGATCTGTTCCTCTGGGTAGATCCCTTTCGGTCTGGTTTCCTCCACGGAAATGAACAAAGACCTCCCACCTCTCGCCTTTCTTCCCCGCGAAGTTGCTGGTGCAGAGTTTGTTTCTGGAGCCCGTCCTTTGGATCTTGCTCTCTGGGGCTGAAGCAGGGTGAAGGGTAGCACTGGGCTCCTGTACAAGCAGCTCCTTGAAGTCTGTAAGGACCAGAAGACTGGGCTTCCCGGGTGTCCAAAGTCTTTAGTCTGAAAAATGCCTTTAAAACTAAAATAGCTCTTAACCAGGTGCTTGCTTCTTTCATGCCCACTGTTCCTGAACTCCTCTCCTGTGAACAGCTGCTGCCTCATCCGACCTGAATACAGCTACACTATTATTATCACTGCACGTGTGGACAGAGATGGGGACACAGACTAACCCTGACAAGCTCAGGGGAGGCCTGCATGGCTGGTCTTACAAACTCAGGAGTAACTGCATATGATGGTATGAAATTAAAATTTCCCCACTAAAAATGACGCATGGCAGGTAGCCCTGTCCTAGGCCAGTGCATTCCTCGAGAAAGGTCAGCCTTTGCCTTAAATGAGCCCATCTGTTATCTTTTTGCATTTATAGTAACAGTAACATACCTTTGGAATGTCAGGGTAATTTCCTTCTCCAGACCCCTCAGAGCACCATCTCCCACCCCATGGGGAGACCACAGAAGCCTCTCGTTGTTATCCCGTTAACTGTTTAGTGTTACGTGACCTATGTCCACCTATGTAAAAGAAGTGTCTATTCCTTTTAGTTTTTATCCCATCTGGGGATTTCGTGCTTTGCTTTCTCCTGCCTCCCTAATCTATCTCCAGTGAATTTCATGTACTCCCCTTACATCTTAACCTTTGATTCTGAAGTATACAGTGGTAAAACTGCCACTCTGTTACATTTTCTCAGTCGGTTGAGATTTTGCTTTCAGGCAATTGTTGTCAGTTTGGCTCAAACTCATAAAATTTCTTACAGGTTTGAATGTTTCTTACGTTGACACGTGTTACTGATACCATGCAGCAGTACCCCAAGAGCCCCACTTCCATGAGCAGCCAGGGGAGGTGAGTCCGTCTCCTATCCTGGGACAGATTGCGACCTAGACGGGACGGGAAGACCGGGATGAAGGAAGCATGGAAAGCATCCCTTCTCTGCTCCTTCCCTAACAAAGCCCACTTGCAGCCCCTCAACCAACACTTGGAGAGCAAAACAGTGGGAGGAGAAGCTAGCCTTGACCATGGTGAGAAAGGGAATTCGACTTCCCTAATCTGGGAATTCCACAATTCATCTCTCTCTCTCCCCCAACCCCCATCCTCATTCCCGGATGAGCAATTCACGTTCTTTTCGCCCTCTGCTGCCTCGGATGCTACCATTTCAGACTCAGACCCAGCACTGGCTTTGTTGGGGGGGGGGTGTCCAGCCATGCCCCCAGCAAGGGCTTTGGTTAGGGCCGCAGCTATAACTGCCCGCGTCCACCCTCCCTCAGCATCCCTGCCGCAGCAGGTGGGGTAAGGGCCCTGCGAGGCAGAAGAACGGTGCATGCACCCCGAGGGCCGGAGTCCTGACCCCTGTGCTGGTGCAGTGACCCCTGTGCTGGTGCATTGACCTCTGTGCTGGTGCAGTGACCTCTGTGCTGGTGCAGTGACTCCTGTGCTGGTGCAGTGACCCCTGTGCTGGTGCAGTGACCTCTGTGCTGGTGCAGTGACCTCTGTGCTAGTGCAGTGACCCCTGTGCTGGTGCAGTGACCCCTGTGCTGGTGCAGTGGCCTCTATGCTGGTGCAGTGACCCCTATGCTGCAGTGACCCCTGTGCTGGTGCAGTGACCCCTGTGCTGGTGCAGTGACCTCTGTGCTGGTGCAGTGACCCCTGTGCTGGTGCAGTGACCTCTGTGCTGGTGCAGTGACCCCTGTGCTGGTGCAGTGACCCCTGTGCTGGTGCAGTGACCTCTGTGCTGGTGCAGTGACCTCTGTGCTGGTGCAGTGACCCCTATGCTGCAGTGACCCCTGTGCTGGTGCAGTGGCCTCTATGCTGGTGCAGTGACCCCTATGCTGCAGTGACCCCTGTGCTGGTGCAGTGACCTCTGTGCTGGTGCAGTGACCTCTGTGCTGGTGCAGTGACCCCTGTGCTGGTGCAGTGACCTCTGTGCTGGTGCAGTGACCTCTGTGCTGGTGCAGTGACCTCTGTGCTGGTGCAGTGACCCCTGTGCTGGTGCAGTGACCTCTGTGCTGGTGCAGTGACCTCTGTGCTGGTGCAGTGACCCCTGTGCTGGTGCAGTGACCTCTGTGCTGGTGCAGTGACCCCTGTGCTGGTGCAGTGGCCCCTGTGCTGGTGCAGTGACCTCTGTGCTGGTGCAGGGGGCTTGGGCGCCTCCAGGCCCCTCTCCCCATTGGCAGGAGCTACATGCTCAGGCAGGCACTAGGCAGGAAGCTTCCGCAGACATGGGGCTGGCAGACTGTGTGCTCCCTGGGCACACAGATTCATTGCCCTTTGGTAGTGTCCCACCTCCACTCTGGAAGCTTGGTCCCAGGGTCCCTGGAGCCACACACTACCCATCAGCACTGCCGAGCCCGTGGGGGGGGGGGCCCTCAGGGCATGGCCTTCAGCCCAACACCGCGCCCCCAGAGCACGGCTTGGGAATTTCCCCTTTTCTGGCAGCTGTGTGCCATGTGCCCCCCCCCCCCCAGCCCTGCAGGCTTAGAACCTGCGGATGGGCCTCCTGGCCTGGTGCTGGGCGTGGGAGGGTGGGACAAAAAGCCTAGATGCAGAGGAAACCACGGAGAAAACCTAGTGCCAGGGACCCCTCCCCCTGGCAGGCCTGGACTGCTGGCTGTGTGGTCCCTCCCTCCCCCTTGCTCGTTGCTGTGAGCCGG